CGTGGGTTGGTCACACGGGGTGATAACGCGGCCGGGTTCACTCGTGCTGATTGGCTGCAGAGTTTGCCATTCATAAATCTTCAAGAGCGCTCCGGGAGTACACGTACCTGGCCGTGCTGCCAATTCAATTCATCACGCATAGCCAGCCAGGACCGATACGCCAAACGTGTGACCTCTTGCGACAGCATTCGCACAAACTGTTCTCGCTGCCGGTGCCCGTGTCTCGAGCGATTTATATCTGTGTATGTACGTTGAACTTATTTCGCACCGTACATGGCCTACCCTGGTAATCGGAAGTGCGATTTGTTTGATCCACGTATCACGGAGGGGGCGGCCACGGGGGCACCGCCGTTCCTTTGAGGATCGCGGTCCACTCCGAGGGTCGACCGCCAACTCAAGTACGCCGGCCGTGCTGCCAGGTCAATTTTTGAAAGTCAAACGCAGCGCAGAACTAAATTGTATTATTTTCCTGTGGTCGTTGGTCACTGGGCGGAGACCATCAACTCGCCGCGCTAGAGAAGTCGGTTAAACGACGGGCAGCTGCCTCGGATTTGAACCACGGATCTCAGTGGTGCCAGCTCAGCACCCTGACCTCTGAGCGTCCGTCCACAGCATCATGACGTTTCTCTGTGTCCATTCCTCCGCTCAATGTTAACAAATTAGCAATTCCCACTGGTCGTTTAGTCAATGTTAACAAAGTAGAAAGTCACACTGGTCACTTAGTCAATGTTAACAAAGTAGAAGTTCCCCTGAGGGTCACGGAATTGATGCCACCTGACTTCCCCCACCAACTACCCATGAGCCTCACTGTTTTCTCAACATCTCAGAGCGAGCTGCTAACTATGCTTTTACTTTTTAGGCTTGAGGATGCCTTTATCCGGCAAAGTTAAACGCTCTTGGCTGACGATGATAACGATGATGATGAAGCACATCGTTTGTTAAGAAGAATTTAACATTTCAATTTGGTCAATTTGAGACGTGTTCAAACAATCAGCACAATATAAAACATGCAATGGCTGTGGACATATACGTAACAAAATTCGGCACAGCAGCGTTATTGACGGAGTAACAATAACGATAATACGTGTGTCATGCCCAGAGTTAAGCACTTGGCTTTTGCCATTGGTACAATTTTAGAAATTGTGCGGAAAACACGAGACAAAGTGCTTACGTGCGTGCACGGAGCAAGCAAAGTAATGGAAAGAATAAACCATCTCGAGGTAGTTTCCACACACGGAACGCTACGAACTGGTGTTGGCAGCGGCGTGCTAACGCAAGCTGAAGATGCCTTTGACGATCGGATAAAAAAACGCTTCCATCCTTTGTTGTTAACACGGCCTTCTGACAGGAAGGTTTGCCACGCTGCAGCGAGTGAACAAGTTGTCGTATCAGCGTGTGAGCAAGCCATCGTGTCCAAAGCAAAGCGTGTCAAGACGGGGTCATTGTTCAGAACATCAGCCGATTCCACTATTCACACACACTGCTCGATCAAAAGCCAGTGTGAACGATGAAAGTGGCACTTTTTAACGCTGTTCAAAATTTAGGTTGTAAGCATTTATCCATTAGCTTTTTCCATACGTCTGTAAGGGTGGGTGAGTGAGGTCACAGTAATTATTGTTGAGATGCAATATGAATTAAACTTTGCCGTAAAGTTTATTTCTCTATTAGGGTCGCATCCTAATTGCAACTGGCCAAATCGATCAAATGGTTTCCTCAATAAAGTTGCAGACACAAACCAGTGCTGAAAGTACAATGAGCATACATACGCAAACTCCTTTTGCCCTGACAAGCTACCCATCAGATTCTGTGCCGCAAATAAATACCAACGAGGACAAGCACATGTTTTAAAGCATTACAGAATGTTCATGCTCATGCATGTTTTTCGTCTGTGTTAAGGATGGCGGTGGTGAGCATTTCTTATATGGGACTGCCACTGCGGTTTCTTAAATTCCATTTAAAGAGCGATGTTTGCTTTATTTAACTGTAAGCCACAATATTTTGCCTCTCACCGCTCATTATAATCGCGTTATCCTGCGCATTTTTCTTCACGGTGTTAACGCAAGTGGTGAAGTATTTTTTTAATCCTTAGGCGATAGAGCCGTGGCACAGTAGTTAGCCTCCTGTGTTATGAACTCAGCTACCTGAGTTCCCTTCACGGTCACAGCTAATATTTATCTAAAAGTGATATCTGAAACCAGTTCTGGGTGACCCCCCTCCTCCTCCTTCGCCAACACGCAGTGGCCCAGCAGAGTGGAGGAATGAGCGCTGGTGGCTATGCCCGTTGGCCTGTAGTCCGGCACTGTGGAGGCGAGGGTTAGTGGATCACACAAATGTTGTGAAAATCCCTTCCCGTGGGCGTCGACGTGGAGCCATACCCTGGCTTGCCTGGAGAAGGCGGTAGAGCACGTGTGGACTCCATCTGTTCCCCCCCCCCCCCCCGTATTGGATGGAGTGTTGCCCTCTCGCGTGCCGTGTGTTTTCGCCAGGTGCTGGGGTTTCGTCCCATTTTTAAACACTCATTAATTGGCTGACAACGCCTTAATCTGTGGAGGATCGCAGCGCTTGGGGGGAACTTCGCACCGGCTCAGTCACTGCGTGGCTGCCTTGCCGCTCTTCTGTGGTTCCTCGTGCTTTCGAGTCGCCCCCTCTCTCTTGGAGAGCGAGCGAATACGGTGCGACTCGTTACAAGTCGATATTATAATTGCCATCGTTAAGTATGGGCAAACAACTCCCCGTGACCATAATGGCATGGGGAGACATTTAATCATCGGTGGCTTGACAAAGGACTGTAAATAAATATTATTATTTTACATTATTTCATAGGTTGCAATATTCATGCAATGCTCACACCGGACGGAGATGTACTTATTTAAATATAAAACAAGCTATCGAATCCGTTATTAACCCAACCAAAAATATAATCTGCTCCGTGATACGGTTTATTTTTTTTATCAGCTTGTCTCATTATCATGTGCGTTATTTATTTTTGGTATTTTTCTAAAGTGTGCTAGAGTGCATTAGCATTGCCGCTCAATATTGAGGAACCAGGCACGCTTGAATAAATTACAGCATGGGCCAGGGCAGTGAGTGGGTAGTGATCGATGATCATGTGTTAAGTTACGTCTCATCACGGTTTGTACCGGTGACTTTGTGGACATAAGGTTGAGCATTAGAGAGGAGAGGCAGTCGTAATGCTTGAAAAAGTGGCACTTAAAAGATCACCGCAAGCTAATAACGAGTCCCGTACTAATTACAAATTTCCCGTACAAATACAACACCGCACATATACCTCGTGCCAATATCGTGACATTTAAACGCTTTAGTCGGCAGGATGAGCGAAGTGAGAGCACTTGTGCCTCACAACAAGAAGGGCCTGAGTTAGATTTCCATCTCCGCCAGCTTTCTGTGTGGAGTCTGCAGGTGCCCTCACTCCTCTGCATGGTTCCCTTTGGGTTCTGTGGTTTGCTTCCATGGCAAAATACACACACAGTTGTGTACCTGGTATTGACTTAGCATCCCAACAATGTACCTAACAATGGACTCAATTGGGATTACACAAGGCCACACCGCCCACTATTGCAGAATCTCGGCAGGATCCTCCTGAAAAACAGCTGAGACTCAGTTTTTCATTTACCAGGTAAGGCCCACTGAGTTACGTAGCTCTTTTTCAGAAGCGACCTTGCCACATATCATAGCTGAACGAAGTGCCTTACCATGTGGAAATGTATAGCAGCCAAATACTCTCAACACGTTTCTAAATGTGGAGGGAAAAACCTGAGGACCAGGAGAAAAATCCACGCGACCACGGAGAAAACACGCAAGCTCCAAATATACAGCAGGCGTCAGGATCGGGATCGAACCCACAGCCTCCTGTATGCCAGGCGAGGTAGTTAACATCTCCTATCCACCATGGCACTCTGTGATTCAGTGAGGCTTTCCTGAGGAACCAAGATAAATAATAATAATAATATAATAATGATTATTTACAGTAGCATAGTGATTAGTGCAATGCACTATAAACCTGGTGATCTGAGTTCCATTCCCAGCCATGGATCACGTCGGTGTTGAGCGATGTATGAATCGGTTTATGGGCACCCATTTCACCAACCCGTACTGACCAGTGTGGTAAAGTATGATTCCATAATCGCGATGACCAATGTGGTGTGGGAAGACATTCTTCCAGCAGTGGATCAACAAGGCGCTCCACATTTTTATTCTCTTCTTGAGTTAGTTATTGAAGTAACGCAATCATAAAGTTGGAAATTGTTCGCAAATATTGTCCAGTCCAGTGTTTGTATGTTGCTTGTGTACGGTAATCAATCAGGTGCACTCAATAGTAAGGTGTTCATGTACTTGAATTTAAAACAAGGCTTGTGTTATTTACTTTTAAATTTCCCCCGCCCCCCACTTCGAACCGCACGATCATCCATAAAGTGTGTGCTCGCCCGGTCACATGCGTTGTAGTAGAACAAGCAAAGCATCCGTCTACTCGGCTCGCGGCGAACCTTACCAAACCATCTCTGAGTCCATGGTGCCGCCCACTCGTCGCTTCGTTCATTTTAACAATCGCCAATTCTTGTTCGGAGCCGGGGCTTCATTTCACCTGGAGCTGTCCAGGGGCTGTGCTCCAGAAGATATGTTTCTCACCCTGACCTGCATGGTTAAGATTGATGTCAAGGGGTGGATTCGAGGGTTAGGGAGGGGGGGGAGGGACAGGGTGCCAGGGTTAGGGGAGAGAGGAAGTTAGATAGGAGATGGGGGGGATGGGGGGGGACAGGAAGGGGGAGGGAATCCAGGGGTTTTTTGTATCCCTGAAAAATATTCCAAATTAAGCCCTGGCTAAATTCTGTTCATGAATTTCCATGAAGCTCGTCTTCAATGTCGAGCAGGGAATCTATCGTCACTGTTCAATGCGTCACATTTTGCTTGTGGATTTTTGCCTGCTCCTTCCTTCTCCTCCCCTCCATTCTCCCCCCTTCCCCCTCTCCTCTCCCCCGCAGTCTTCCTGTGCCCCGGCTCGCTGAGAGCCGTCTCGCAGGCTCTGCACCTCTTTGAGGCCGAGCAGCAAGCGGGGGCCTGGTGCAAAGACCCGTTGCAGGCCACCGACCGGGTCTACTACATGCCCTGGTTGCCCTACCGCACCGACGGCCTCACCGAGTTCGCCTCGCTCGAGGACTTCATCGCCGGGCGCCCGTCCACCACCTACAAGCTGCCCCACCGTGTGGACGGCACGGGCTTTGTGGTGTACGACGGTGCGGTGTTCTTCAACAAGGAGCGCACGCGCAACGTCGTCAAGTTCGACCTGCGCACGCGCATCAAGAGCGGCGAGGCCATCATCCCCAACGCCAACTACCACGACACATCACCCTACCGCTGGGGCGGTAAGTCCGACATGGACCTGGCGGTGGACGAGAACGGCCTGTGGGTCATCTACGCGACGGAGCAGAACAACGGGCGCGTGGTGGTGAGCCAGCTCAACCCGTACACGCTGCGCATCGAGGGCTCCTGGGAGACGGCCTACGACAAGCGCTCGGCCTCCAACGCGTTCATGGCGTGCGGCGTCCTCTACGTGCTGCGCTCCGTCTACGAGGACGACGAGAACGAGGCGGCCGGCAACCGCATCGACTACATGTACAACACCAACCTGCACCGCGACGCTCACCTCGCCGTGCCGTTCCCCAACCCCTACCAGTTCATCGCCTCCGCGCAGTACAACCCCCGCGACAACCTCCTCTACGTGTGGAACAACTACCACGTGCTCCGCTACGCCCTCGACTTCGGCCCGCCAGACCCCACCGCGGGTAAGGACTGCCCCCTTTCCCTGTCGGTTCGAGCGGCCGGCGGCCCCCGCGACCCCCACGACCCCCACGACCCCCGCGACCCCCGCGACCCCCGCGACCCCCACGGCCCCCGCGACCCCCCCGACTCCCACGACCCCCGCGACCCCGACGACCCCCACGGCCCCCGCGACCCCCACGACTCCCACGACCCCCGCGACCCCTACGACCCCCACGGCCCCCACGACCCCCGTGACTCCCACGACCCCCGCGACCCCTACGACCCCCACGACCCCCGCGCCCCTACCTCCTACCTCCTCTGCAACCGTGAATGAGGGGGTGGGGGGGAGCCACGATGCGGTCGGTGTCAAACAAACTTCGAACGTGCGACAAATGCGGAGCCGCATGGGTAACGGTGCGACCGGAGTTTGTCCGTCGTGCGTTCTGAACTGGCTCTCGCCGCATGCATAAATATTGTAGCAACATTTTTGTTGACTGCTAAAAATAAACACACACACGCACGCATGCACACCGCCACCACTGTGTACGAGACACAACTGAACTGGGCGGTAGCGCACACGTACTTTGAATCGCAAGTAGTAACATTGTATATACACCGGGCTGTATGGTGAACAAACACGTAGACCAACTCGTGTACAGTGGCGACGTTGTATGCTTAATACAATACCGAGTGTCGGACAAGGTTTTCAAGAGGTGAGTTTTCACACACGCACACAAAATATATCCCATTTAGCCGTGGCAGACCTGAGCTAGTGGTCGAAATTCCACATTCCTATGGTTAGGGCCAGTTTATCCACGGGACAGCCGCCGCCGTGGACAGCCTTAAAAGCGGTGCCGTTTTGTTGATCCAAAAGGGGTGGATGATGGTGAGGCAGGGCTGAGTCAACCCCTCACCAGGATTTTAACTCGGATTCTTGCAACTGCAGATCGGTACACGAGGGGGTGGGTGTTCAGCACCACGCCCGACCGCCTTTGTCTTCCCAGTGGGAATGTTTACACACCGCACCAGCTACCCATTTGAGGCTGAGTCGATCTAGGGAAGGTCCAGAACCGGTTCAGATAACCGTCACTGGTGTTAGCCGTGAGCGGGAATCGAACCCGGGTCGCCAGGTTCACAGCGCAGCGTGCCAACCGCTACACCACCACTCCCCACTATATACATACAACATACATACATATATACATGCAACATACATATATACATGCAACATACATATATACATGCAACATGCATATATACATACAACATACATATATACATGCAACATACATATATACATGCAACATACATATATACATACAACATACATATATACATGCAACATACATATATACATGCAACATCCATATATACATACAACATACATATATACATACAACATACATATATACATACAACATACATATACATGCAACATACATATATACATACAACATACATATATACATACAACATACATATATGCATACAACATACATATATACATACAACATACATACATATATACATGCAACATACATATATACATACAACATACATATATACATACAACATACATATATACATACAACAAACATATATACATGCGAAGCCAAAGATCCCCCATGCAGCCTACATACACTCCCTATGAACCGTGAGTTGAAGAGCAACCCTCACGCCTCGAAGCTAAGCAACGAATGGTACGATGCACCAATGGAGATTCTGATTCTAATGCGGGGATATCAGTACTGCACCATACAAAGTTTTACCACGTACAGTCGAGTAATACTTATGCTGCCTGTGTTTATCATCATTACACACTGAGAGCACCTTCCACGAACCATGAGCGGACATGAGTATGGCGATAAGACTTGCACTCAACACTATCTCGTGGCTGAGTACTAATTAGAAATGCACCTGCTTAACGTGCACTTGACGTCCGTGTATGGGCGGCGATTGACAGTGCTGTGTAATGCCGACATATGTTGAGTCGCTCAGACTCGCGTAAGTCCCATTGCTGTCGATAATTCGTGTCTCTGCTAATTCATATTATCATACATTTTGTGTGGAGTCTTTCGAAGGAAAATCCCAATGTGGAAAGCTTTGGATATTTTTCATTCAAATACGGTGTTTTGGGGTATAATTTTATTGGCGTGAGCCTTGTGTGTGTGTGTTTTGTATGGGAAGCGGTAGCGTAGTGGTTAGCGCACTCCACCACGAACCTAGCAACCTGGATTCGAATGCCGCTCACAGCCACCATCAGTAACGATTATTTGAACCGGTCCTGGGCCTCCCCTAGGTCGACTCAGCCTCAAATGAGTACCTGGTTGCGGTGTGTAAACATCGCCACTGGGGAGACAAAGACGGCCGGACGTGGTGCTGGCCACCCACCCCCTCGTGTGCCGTGCCGGCCTTCATAGGTGCTCGCTAACAGTACTTGCCTCAAAAGTCTATTCAGGCTATACGGCGAATCTTTGTTTTGTTTTGTACAGAGCCTTGTGATCTCCAGGTGAGGAGTGTAAATAATCATTATTATGAGTTCAAAGCATTGCCATTGTGGGCTCACGAAGACACCAATGCACGGATTCATGGTGTTTTTGACACAACGAGGGTAAGACCCCGTTGATATTTATTGTTGGTCATTTAGCTCGGAGAGGGCAGTATGTGTATAAGTATGTTGAACTTCTTTGCACCGGACGTAGCCACCCGTGCTAATCGGAGGTGCGGGGGAAGGACAACAAACTGAACACAAAAAGCAGTTCTAAAGAAATGCATTTTCAATGTCAATGTAAAAGTGCATAGCTCCAGTGGCTTCCTGATATGGGTAGGAAGATTGTTCCAGATGGCCGCAGAAGTGCATCTGAAAGCGCGTGATGCAGTTTTCGACAGTTAGCCAAAAGCAGCTGCGAGGATGACCGGCGGAGTTCGCGTGATGATGGTTCATGCTCCTTTCCGAGATCAGCTAGGTGTTGTGGTTCATTTGTGGCAAGCGCTTTGCGTGTAATGAGCGCGACCTCATAACGTTTTCGTTCGGCAACCGGAAGCCAACGCAGCTCAGCGAGCATTGGACGGACACGGTCGGATCTTGCAGTACGGACCGTGAATCAAGTGGGATTGGGGTATGTCAAGTAGGTTCGTGAAACCATCTCTGTAGTCCACTGATTCTTGTTCACTCATGGCCGTGTGCTTTGCACCGGTTCCCTTCGAAATGTGAAGCACCCGTTCCAACACCCGTTCCAACACTCGTTCCAACACCCGTTCCAACACCCGTTCCAACACCCGTTCCAACACTTGTTCCAACACCCGTTCCAACACCCGTTCCAACACCCGTTCTAACACTCGTTCCAACACTCATTCCAACACCCGTTACAACACCCGTTCCAACACTCGTTCCAACACTCGTTCCAACACCCGTTCCAACACCCGTTCCAACACTCGTTCCAACACCCGTTCTAACACTCGTTCCAACACTCATTCCAACACCCGTTCCAACACTCGTTCTAACACCCATTCCAACACTCATTCCAACACCCGTTCCAACACTTGTTCCAACACCCGTTCCAACACTCGTTCCAACACCCGTTCCAACACCCGTTCCAACACCCGTTCCAACACTTGTTCCAACATCCGTTCCAACACCCGTTCCAACACCCGTTCTAACACTCGTTCCAACACTCATTCCAACACCCGTTACAACACCCGTTCCAACACTCGTTCCAACACCCGTTCTAACACTCGTTCCAACACTCATTCCAACACCCGTTCCAATACTCGTTCTAACACCCGTTCCAACACCCGTTCCAACACTCGTTCCAACACCCGTTCCAACACTCGTTCCAACACCCGTTCCAACACCCGTTCCAACACTCGTTCTAACACCCGTTCCAACACCCGTTCCAACACTCGTTCCAACACTTGTTCCAACACCCGTTCCAACACTCGTTCCAACACTCGTTCCAACACCCGTTCCAACACTCGTTCCAACACCCGTTCCAACACCCGTTCCAACACTCGTTCCAACACCCGTTCCAACACCCGTTCCAACACTCGTTCTAACACCCGTTCCAACACCCGTTCCAACACTCGTTCCAACACCCGTTCCAACACCCGTTCCAACACTCGTTCTAACACCCGTTCCAACACTCGTTCCAACACCCGTTCCAACACCCGTTCTAACACCCGTTCCAACACTCATTCCAACACCCGTTCCAACACCCGTTCTAACACCCGTTCCAACACTCGTTCCAACACCCGTTCCAACATCCGTTCTAACACCCGTTCCAACACTCATTCCAACACCCGTTCCAACACCCGTTCCAACACCCGTTCCAACACTCGTTCCAACACCCGTTCCAACACCCGTTCCAACACTCGTTCCAACACCCGTTCCAACACCCGTTCCAACACCCGTTCTAACACTCGTTCCAACACTCATTCCAACACCCGTTACAACACCCGTTCCAACACTCGTTCCAACACTCGTTCTAACCGAGTGGAGCCAAACGTATCACAATGCTGAACCGCTGCTGAAAATTTGTTTTTAAGATTCGGTGAAACTTCTGTGGGCAATTAAATAAATAACGTTTAATAAATGTCTTGTAATTTGGTTGACTACACATCTCAACGTTAATGCATAACTGCCAAACACGCGAAACAAGCTGAAACTTAAATTAGATTTTTTTGTCACGGCAATAAAGCATGCCTTTTTTCTCCTGCCTTGATTAAACGCAAAAGTCTGCTCAGTGTTAATGCTGATTCTTGATTCTGGAGAACTCTTTTTTTAATTGGTTCCTATCTCACCATTCAATCTTGCGATGGTTTCTATTCAATTTTCTATTCGCCTTTATTATTTTACGTTGGACCAACGCTGCTCTGTTCATCACTGTTATTTATAGGACCTTTCTAGATTTCTGCCTTTATCATTGCGTAGGAAATTGCATTGGACAATTTTGTTCACAATGCATTCTCAATCTCTGACCGTCGCAGTCGATGGAGTTTTACGCGGAGAACGGTAAAACCTCGA